CCCTTGGCTTCCTTTCTGGCCTTGATAACCCTTTCTCCCTTCAACTCAGATGCTCGTCTGATACATGAGCAGCCTGTGCTCTCCTCCCTGTCTCTGAGTTGTGCCAATCTTTCCAATATAATCGATCGTTTCTTAACTCCGCCACCTTACCATCCACTAGCCATTGTGCTACAAACTTCTTCTTGGCTTTTTCCTGCAGTTCTGCATCCTCTGGCATCGATTTCTGCCATCTGCACAGGATTTCTGCCTGCAACAACGTTCGCGTCTCACCCCATACCTTCTTTTTTGAGTTGGATAACCTTTCGATGGTTCTGCAGCATCTCTCTTTCCAGATGACCCATAGTGTGACCTTCCTTATCAAACCGAACCATAGTCTCTCCGTCTTCTTGAGCTGGTGGGGAATGTTAAAAACTATGACCTTTTTATCATCCGTCTGGAATGAGAATCCCCCTTTGAGCCTGCTCATAGTGAGAGACTATCCTAGGAGCGTTCTCCTAGGATACCATCAGTTTTCCTCTGGTTCCTGATACTGCCAACGAACTCTGAACTGTTGCTGTGATCTTCCACTTCTGCCTGATAGGTGTATGTCACGTGCGACTTTTAGGTCAATGTTGTATCTGCCATTCATGTCAGGCTGTCTATAGATCTTCGTATGGGGAATTCATTGTCTGATATACAAGACAACAGTCTGGCGGCACGCAACACTGGGTAAGTTCGCATACATCTTACACTTCCCAAGGCCCTCTGTATACCGGTATCAACTTCTGAGGAATACCTGCCTTGGGTAGGAACGCTTTAGACTTCAGCCAGACTAGGTCACTTACGGCATCACAGCAGTCACCAGTGCTTATATGCCTGTTCTACCATTTTGTGTTGGGCAAGTCTAGTGTTCTCAGCAACTTTTGTAGGTCGTTCTGGTACTTGAGTTCGAGTTTTTTTTTTTTTTTTTTTTTTTAATATATATATATAAACAGGCCCTTATGGTCCTGGCTCCGTTTCCATTCTGGGGAGCGTCAGTCCGGTTCCTATTCCACCGGCAAGTCATAATATAAGATACATCATAAATACTCACTCACGCTTCCTTCCGTCTAGCCGAAGGACACCTGGCCATCATTGATTGCTCCAACCTCGTGGAGGATTGACTGTCAGCTTGCCCTGCTTCATCCTTTCCTCTCAGGTCAAATGCTACAACCCGTCATATAAAACATGACTAACAAGAAAGGTCCTAGCAGATAGCAACGCCACCTGTTTTGTCTAAACTGTAAATCCCCTATATGAAGCACATCAAAATTTTGCTATTCTGAACCCTATTTGCCCCTTTTTCATTTCCATTTCATCTCCTTCTTGGCTGGGCTCACTTTGATTCTTATGGTAGCCTAAGTTCCTGTGTCGACCGCTGAACATCTATAGTGTCGTCCTGGTGCTCCTCTTTGAACCAATGGAAGATAAGTTTTTCTCCTTTAACAGTCGCGACTTTGCCTTGGGCTAATACCCTCTTGTGAAATTTAGATAAGGTATCCTTTGCCCTTTCTGGGTTAAGTGCCAGTTGCTTCTTTATTCTTCTCCACAACGCCCTAATCTCCGTCTCCAACAAGTTATAGAGAATCGCCTTGGCTTCCCAGCTGTTGACATCTTCGTTTCCAGATTGTCCATAGCGTGTACTGTCTCAGAAGTTGAAAGATATATTTGTGGCCTGACCTCCATCCTTTGGGGAACTCACTTCCAATCAATATTAATTTTTGGTTACTTGGAAAGGGGACCTCCGTAGTATGTGCCCATAATGCACTAGATATGGACCAGAGATGTTCTGCTTCTGGGCAATGGAGCAAACGATGGATCAGAGTTTCCGATACACCTCCCGTACACATACCACAGTCCTGATCGGCCTCATTCCTATTGATCCTGTTTCTCTTATTGAACAACCAGACATTGACTGGGAGTGCTACGTGAAAGATGAGCCACTGCATACTCCTGACCTTAGGTAGTCYGATGYTGTGCAAAGTTGACCATGGTAACTTTTCTACCTGGTCCCTAGGTATATCCATTCTGTTCTCCCATCTTCTTGCCAAAATCTGGTCCAACTGACATGATCTTCCCCTCAGACGGTAGCCCACTTTAGTGGTGTACTGAAGTATATTGATTCTCCTGCTTACTGTTGACAAACTTCCCATGATGTTCCACGCCCACTCTACTGGATCGATTTCCAGATCTCTAATGGATGTCAGTGGCTCAAATATCGTAAAATCTTCATTCTCAACCACTCTGATCTTTCTCAAGATGCTTTTCTTGATGACTATCGGAACCCGCTATTCCCTATCCAACTTACTGACCGTGAGTCCTGGAGAAAGTATCGTGTACATATCAGCTTCCACCCACTGGTTAAAAGGTCCGACCTCCTTTCGTATACAAAAGGCTACCTCTGGTTCATTGGTAGAGGTTAATGTTGCCCAATCTCCCCCTCCCCATTTGTCCGGTTCCTTCAATATCCTTGTCCATTCATCCGGGATGGAGATGAGAATGTCGTTCAGGTTTTCCGTTAGTCTGTGACATCCTTTCATTTCCTCTCTCAGCTCCCTACCTGTTTTCCATCCCATCTTGTTGTCCGACCAGAGATGTTTTACCTGCCATACACCATGTTCTAACCACTTCCCCCATTTGGCGTCTTTTGTTGTAAGTGTTCTTGGCATTCCTTGAGAGTCCTTTAACCACGGATTACAAAATAGCGGTTGTCTAAGCACCTCATCCTTCGTCCTCGGTTTTCCTACTTTAGCCGGGAAGACCTCCGCCCATATTTTGAACAATTGAGCCCAGTATGTACCCCTCATACTTGCAATCGCACGAGCCGCACATTCGTGCGGAGTTCCGTGCGGGGGGTGCCTGTGCGGAATCGTGCAGGTTTTTTATTTTTATTGTTATTATTTTATCTCTTTTGGGGAGGGGGAACAGGGGGGCGTATGACAGGAAGATGGGGATATGGCAAGGAAAGGGGGATATGGAGAGGAGGAGGAGGAGGATGTGGACGAGGACGACGACGAGGATAGCGAGGACGACCAGGAGGAGTCGAGATGGGGGAGGAGAAGAGGTGGACAGAGGGAAAAGAGGAAGGGCAGGAGGAGGAGGAGGAGTGGGAGGAGGAGGAGACATGGACGGTGAGGAAGGGGAGGAGACGAGGAAGGGGAGGAGACGAGAAGGCATGGAAGATGAGGAAGTACGAGGAGGAGGAGGAGACAAGGAGGATGAGGAAGGATAGGAGGAGGAGGAGGAGACGAAACGGAGAAGGGAGGAGGAGACATGGAGGATGAGGAAGGGGAGGAGGAGCAAGGTGAGGCAGTACTCCTGCAATTTTTTTTTTCATCTCGTTTATAATTTTGGCAGGGGGCCTCAAATGCACCGTTTCGACCCCGGTCTTTTTTTTTTTTTTTTTCTGAGGGGGGTGACGGGTCGTTCTCCGCATACCTCGTGCGCCGCACAGGATTGGTTGGGAGTGTGCGCCGCACGTAGGGAACCGCCCGCACGACGTGCGCTTGCAAGTATGGTACCCCTATTTGCTCCTTGGTCTACTACTTGATCCCCAATTCTATCCTTCTTAGTCCAACCCTTGCAAAATAACCAGAATGTACCCTTCATATTGGATGGCGTTTTATATCTTGCCAACTGACGTATGTGATCGAGTACCAATGGGACCCATGGAAGGTGAGGCTGTGTTAACAACTTTATGATCCACTTAGTTTGAGTTTTCTGTTTTTTTTTTTTCCAACGACTTTCATTTCCACTATATTGCTGGAAATGGTGTCCAACGTCCCTTACATCGGTAGAACTCACACTAGACTTCCCTCCATTACGGTCGAGGGACCTTGAGATGCTGGTATTGGTTTCTCCACTCCGGAAGGGGTTACCGCCACTCCACCCCTGTGTCCCTATCTGGACTTATTCCGTGCTTAATTCTCCTGTCCAAGGCTTATCTTCTCCAATTGCGCCCACACATGGTACTTGAGTGTGAACTCTCGAGTGGTGGGTGGTAATCTTTGAATCTGGTCTGTATGCAGATAGTTGATTGGTGTCTGCGGCTTCCGCCCTTTGTGCAACTCGTAGACGTACCTGTCGACAAAATGTACCAAATCATTGTACGCACTGGTTACCTTCGTTAAGTGGTCATTCCACTCTATCTGGTGTGGCCTAATATACATACATAGGGTCTTTTGCAGCGTTGTGTTCGTCCTGTCAGTCTGGCCGTTGGTCTCCGTGTGTCTACCTGAGAACGTAGGCAACTGAGATCTGTATACCTTCATTAGTTGCTGCCACCGCTCCTCCCTGAATCTAACATACCTGTTGCTAACTATGGTCAAAGGATGCTTATTATCCTTGACCCAATGTGCGAAGAACTCACGAATAACTAGGCCGGACATCGCTTCTGCTGAGAATGGCTTGTCTACTACCACCATGACTGTTCCCTCTTCTACACTTGACGTTCGTATCCATAAAGTCTATAGACACTGACTCTCCAGGTCCAGAAGGAATAGCTAATGGTTTCAGCAGTCCTACGCATGCCTGTGTGGTACTCTTGTTTCTCTGACAGACTTCACACCCTTGGATATCTCTGGTGCAGTCAGACCATTCCGGTCCAAGGTGATCTCTGCATTATTATTTGCAATTAAGAAGGGATTCTCTGACAGACTTTACACCCTACAAACACACACGAACACACACACATGCACACACACACACACACACACACACACACACACACACACACACATACACACACAGAGATACAGACCTACAAGGCTTCATTTCCAGCAAACATGGACAGAAAGGCATCGAGGATACACAGTAGTGCCCCTGGTGTCGCAAGGCTTCAGGTCACAGCCAGCTGCCACATGTCTGTGTTGTCACCTGACTTTCTGGGGCGTTTATCAACAAACTCAGATGCCATGCTTCCGTTGTTTCAAAGGGCACGATACTGCAAACACGGTGCTTTAGACAACAATGTTTTTGGTGTTGCGTATAGGTCTCAGGACTGCAGGCAGATGTGGGCCTGTGTTTTTGGCCCCTCGGTTGGGAAATGTGAAGTGTCTACTAATCCTCTTTTTTGGGTGACTACATCTTCAGCTGACGGATGTGTAGGATCTCCCACTCAACAACACGGGCATGGGTGAACATGGGGAAAGCGAACAACACAGAGAAAGCTCTTAGAACAAGCAGAAGAAACAAATTTATAGGTAATATGATTGGGTGTGTGTGCGCATTCAAGAAAGCGCCAAATAAGCTCCATCCCTCCCTGATGTCATAGACGGACTTCAAAAAAGCTGCAAGGCTACCCATGCCTGTGTTGTTGACTGGGAGGTCCTTCACATCTGTCAGTTAATCGGCATCCCCCCTGGAAATTCAGAGGTGACCTTCGGAATCTTCCATCCTGTGAGAAAAAAATGTCTGAGTCCGGATGATGATAAACAACCTATGAACTGAATTGTCATGCCACAGCTTGCTGTGGAGTCCCTAGCACGAAGTGCTATCTGTAGGTTAACACACACACACACACACACACACACACATACACACACACACACACACACACACACACACACACACACACACACACACACACACACACACACAACTTCTTGATGAGTCGGTGAAAGCCCGACAAAACAGTCTGGCACAATCATGCTTGTTTTGGTGTATAGCGAATATGACACCACACACACGTCCAGGGGTATGGACGGCAGTCTGCTAGGATTGCAGGCTGGTGTGAATAAAGTCGACCACTTTTCTCGAGGGTATGTTACGATCCTGGTAATTTTCCAAGTGCAAATTCACAATGAAAGACAATGCCACCCAATTGCGAAAGAAACGAAAGCACTTGCAAAGAGATAGAGACCAAAGAAGAGAGGAAGAAGAAGAAGAAGAAGAAGATGTACACCAGCAAGACCAATGACGATTCCCCCTTCTCTCTCCACCTTCCTCCTCCTCCTTCTCTTCGCCAATCTTATTCTTCCCCAAATAATAATAATAACAATGAATGGATGAACCAGAATCAATATCCGAAGTTCCCTCTTACTGCTGACAACAGCAGGTCCACCATAGCTATGAATTCTCCCCCCTTCTCTCATCTCTCACAGGTCCCAGCTATGGCGGACTACCAAGGGCTCAGCCCTCCTGTCCAAAGGACAACGCAAAGCAGCTATGCCGCTGCCTCCTGTCCAAAGGACAACACAAAGCAGCTATGCCGCTGCTGACTCAACCGCCATGTCTGACTCTGCCTTGAGCTTCCTTGGTGCGGCACTACCCCAACTGGGGCCTTCCAGATGTTGCGCCCAACAAGGTGATGAAGATGGTGTCCACCATATCCAGGTAGGTACCTCGCCACTCTCTTCCTCAGCCCCCTTCTTCCTCCTCCTCAGGCTGGGCTGCTCGCCATAGCCAGGCTGAGCGCCCAGCTGCCTTCACCTCCAGGCAGCGCTGTACCAGTCCAGCGCTAGTGCTCCAGCAGCATGGCGCCAATCCTTGCACACCGCAAAATGAGGAAGAGCTCTTCGCCCTCCCTGAAGATATAGCGGCCTACTGGCCTCTTGGGCGGTGACTTCCTAGGCCGAGTGGCCTCCCAGCAACCGGTACCTCCTCCCTTTTGGAGGGAAACGTCATTGCAGGCTCTGCTACCCTCCGTACAGGCCCTAGACCCGGGCTACTTGGACTGGTACCAGCCTACCTCCATCCTACCGCTACTGGGCCTCTAAAAATGCCAACTTTTTGTCTTCTTCTGCTCGGCCTCCAGTACCCGACACTCATACCACTACTCGAGTGGTACCGGCCTACCTGCTACTCGAGTGTTTTCCCCCCTGCTCTAAGTGTCGCGGGCTTACCCCCGCTACTTGAGTGTTTACCCCCCTGCAACCCTCAAAGTCACGGCCACAGGTAAGTACCGGCCCTGCGGGGCCTTACAACCAACAAGTACCGTTGCGGGTCACACACACACTCAACCGGCCAGCACTCAGACAGGCATGCAAACCAGCAGGCACGCACGCACACAGACTTGGAAACCACAGCAGAATGCGGGAATCACAGCAAGGCATTCATTCCAGTGGCAAATCCCAGAAATCAGCAGTGTTCTCAGTCTGTGTTTTTGGTGGGTCATTACAGGTAGCACTAACTCTGGGTGACGTGATCCTGGGCAGACTGTTGAATTCTACCTCCTTGATGCGCCGGTGAAAGTCCCACGGAACAGTCTGGCACAGTAATGCTTTTTCTGTGGAGTTGTGTATAGCGAACATGACAACACACACACATGACACAACTTTACACACATCAGTGACATCACACAATTTGACACACATATCACACAGTTTTTTCTCCGTTGAAAAAACGAAATGCAGCTTTCTGGAAACAACCTGCACCCTAGATGGCGTCATCTAGGCGGTCATCAGCACATGGTCTCTAACCATACATGCAAGAATCCTGCCCTTCACAAAGACTATCATCAGTCCGCTCCCATTTGCAGCCTTGTCGGTTTCTCACTTGCTGTTTGGCTTACCTCCCATAGACCTGCCAAAGGCAACGGAACATGGTGGCTGAAGATAATCATTGTGGCACTACATGTGCAATCGTTCTGGGTGGCAGGGATTTGATTGTTGAAATCCAGTGAACAGAAAAATCAAACAGAAATGCATTCTGGTGGTAAAAACCATTACAACATTGAAGCACAGAAAGCAAATCCGTATTTCTTTCCCCACAGAAATTCGAGTCATACAGGATGGGTGTTCGGCTCTTAGCCTCTTACTCTTTTTTAAGCAGCTCTGTCAACCTGTTGCACTGCTGGGTCTGCCAGTTCCTGAATTCCTCCACTGCAAATGGGAGTTTGGCATTGAAGTTGTCACTTCTAACATCAACAAGCAGCATATTTTTGAAAGAAGACCATCCAGCTGTAGGTGCACATGTAGAGCATGACGAACAAAACAGCGAAATGGGAGAGATTGAGTGAGGGTAAGAGATGAATCTTGACTAATTGACAGGAAAGAGGGCCAATGGGTGATTGAGCACTTTCCCAGGTCCTCGTCATTCTATCTGGCATGTGTTTAACTCTCTCTCTCTCTCTCTCTCTCTCTCTCTCTCTCTCTCTCTCTCTCTCTCTCTCTCTCTCTCTCTCNCACACACACACACACACACACACACACACACACACACACACACACACACACACACACACAGAGATCATGTTCATTTTGCATTATTGAGAACTTGACACCATTGCTATGTCATTCCTGCCTTGGTCTTTGCCATCATCTCATAATTCTGTTGATGTTCAAATGAGTGTCATACCTCTTTGCAGACCAGTGGATAACTAATTTACCAAGCTATAATCTCAGCAGAACCTGCCTTGCTTTCCATTATGTACGAGGCAAATTAGAAAACTAGCATTGTAAGAAATGCCAGTGAAAGGGTTTAGCGCAATGTTCTTGCAGCACTAGGCTTCACGCCACGCCGCTGCGCCATCGCGCCGAGTAGCGCCCCCCGAGTGTGCCGCCCTCTGCATGCAAACGCAGAGTGTCGTGCCACGTGGGAGAGTGGACGTAGCCTAGCACCTAGGAGTGCAACGCGCTGTTTACGTGTAGCTGCATCTAGGGGAGAAAAATCCAACACCTATCGTCCACTCACCAGAACGGAAGGTGGGATAGGGCTTACAGGATCTTGGATCCTCAGCGAGTTGAATCCTCATCGAGTCGAAACAGAATAGGGCAAAGGAGGCGACAAGACGAGGGAGATTCGGACAGAATCTTGCTGCATCAATACATACTCTGAGTGTATACGGGATACCAAGTTTCACGAGCTGCTACGGGAGCGAAGGAGAACGGAGGGAGCTACAGGACAAAAGACTACAAGGAGCACAAGACAAAACGATACAACGATTTCGTCCGTACACACCGAAGAGGAAAAGGAGGAGGGTGAACACTATCCAGCCGTTCGCTGCTAATGGGCAAACGGTGGGATAGGGCCCACAGGGACTAGATTCCTATGAGAGGAAGGCAAGGAGAGAAGTGAGATTGATTTAGCAAGGTGACAGGTCCAAAAAAGGAAAGGCGGCTTCTTCCCGTGAATTCTTGTGGTACTTCACCGAAGAGGAACAGGGAGAAACGACTAAATTGGGAGAAGACCGCAACACACCTTTCCAATCACAGAAAAGGCGCGTTACGGCCACACGGAGCTTTGGCGTGTTACTGACACGAGGGACCCACCAAGGAAAACACAACACTGCCCTGCTTTTGTTGAAGGACGTACTTCCCAAGGGCGACTTTCGACGAGGTAGTGCAATACAAGGGCGACTTTCGACGAGGGTGTGCACTACGACATTGAACACCACTACCGCGAGTAAGAGTGAATGCGGCTGCAATAGCATCCAAGAGAAGACAAGCCTGCTTCGTTTTTCAGGTGAGATATACCCAACGTTCAGTGCTCATACTGACCATCCACAGCCTACCTTCCCCCTCACACGACATTCTATCTGCTATCTTACTTCTTCATCTCAGCTGACAACATCGTCTTCCCCACAGCCACGTAGTAAAAAAAAAAAAAAAGAACTGTCCGACTAGACCCCGATTTATTGTGCGTCTATCCCTCCCCTTCAGCAATACCCGTACACCCAGCTTTCTGTCTTGCGCTCAGTTCTGCTGACTATTTGCTTCCCCCCCTCCCCACATCCTCCCATCCCCCCCCACCCCATTCGTTGGGAAGCTATTCATCTTACCTTAGCCTAGCCGTAGCCAGATAATCACTTCTTCCCATACTGCCTCCTCCACTGTGCTACCAACCTGACCGGTCAGTGCTCACACTGACCATCCACAGCCCTAACTATCTACTCACAGCCCACCTGCCCCGTCACAAGACATGACACTCTACCAGCTATCTTACTTCTTCACCCCATCTGACAACAACTCCCTCCCCATAGCCATGTAAAAAAAAAAAAGAAGAGTTCCACAGTCCGCCAAGACCGCAATTTACTGTGCTACTAACCCACCCCTTCACTGATTGCCATACACCCAACTTTCTATCTTACAATCTGTTCTGCTGACTATTTGCATCCCCCCCCCCCCCCCCCCCACTTGTACTGGGGCTGCTTTCATGGCCAGTCCAACCACAGGCCGGGACACGGCCTCTTTCAAACAAGTTGTTCAGAATGCACTCCCCATGCACCTCAACCAACAAATGGACAAATCAACACTGAATACCATAGACAACGAAGCACTTCAATTCTTGATTGAGAAAACAAAAGTTGAAGGCGAACCTATCACAGAGAAGCAAAAGATTGAAGGGAAGGAGGAAGATGTGATTGTATGCAAGTACCCCGATGGGAAAGTACCCGAACTGGACGATCTTCACGAAAGGCATGGAGTGGTCTTCAATTTTACTCGCAACGGAGAAGATCTCAAGCCGTCAGAGAAGAGAAAATGGATTATAGAAACAATCACGAAGGAAACGAAACTCAAACACGTTGGAGAAGCCTTTTCTCTGCAGAATTTGGGTCGAACAACATCATGGTGCTCTTCACCAATGAAGATCATGCACGGATCGCAGCAGAAATGCAGTCCTGGAACTGCAACAGATCGATCTGTACGATCACCAAATGGAAGAAACTGACTGTTCAGAGGCAAAATCCGACTTTCACGGTTTCTTACAAACAAACACCGATGAAAGAAAATTTCTGGGTACAGTTCGACAACATTCAACCGGGATTCCATGGTCTGTTGGTGGGCAGACTGGAGAGACAGTATCCAGCAAAGAAAATCCTGAAATGGATCCTGCCGACTCCATATTTTCGTGCACCTCACTGTGGCTCCATGACAGCCCTACTAGAAGTCAAGACAGATGACCCCCCGTTTTTTCCGCTGACGTGGAAATTCCAGATCGAGAACAGAGTACTAGAAGTCAAGGTCTCCACCAAGACTTCTCCGATCTGTTTCAGATGCAGGGAATGTGGTGACATGGGAACTGATCCGAATTGCCCGAAGTCCCCGAAACAGTCGAAGGAACGGAAACTCCATCCCAACATGCTAGTGGAAGTTGAGGATGCTCCGGGTACCTGGTTCATCGTAGATTCCAACTACGATGGCTGGGTGTTCGATGACAATTTGGATGACCCAGATTGGGTCTCGCACTATGTTGATCAGGAACCTTCAGTGAAAAAACCCAACATTTTCCCCCCGACAAACAACAGATGGCAGAAGAAAGCGACAAGCAAAGTAACAGGAAATCCAACAAAGATAAATACCAACCTTGTAATTGACTCACGTGTGATTAGAGAAGAATAAGTCAGGGAAGATCTGCTATGGGACTTGGACGCAGTCCGGGAACCAACAAAGAACCGACAACTCTTCAAGAAATGTTGAGACGGTTGGAACAAGAGGCCCAAGAAAGAAGGGCCAAGGCGCAAACAGATAATAAACGAACGCTGGAAGAAGTCGACTGTCAGAGGATGGCAGAGGTGGGTCTCAAAAAAAGAACGACAATGAACTCAGAAGAGAAGAAGGGAACAAAACAGACCCGTGAAGAAGTGGAAAGAAAAGTACGGTTACTGATTCCCCCAACAACGCTACAGACAACAAAGCAAGCAAGGACCGTGAGGGGACAGGGGGGACAGCCACAAACAGTGCGTCTGAGCCCCAACAGTCTCTGCAGTGGTTGAGGGAATACATTCAAAAGGCCAAGAGGGAGAGAGAACATGCATTTGACATCATAGCAGCTTGTTTGAAGCACATTGAGAAATCCCACAAAAATGGGAAGAATGGGACAATCGCTGGAATTGAGAGGTCAAAAAATCAGTATGACACGCTTAAAAAAAGGAAGGCAGAGGAGTTCTCTGAATACACCGACTTCAAATATGCAGAAAAGAAGAGGGCGGGAGAACAAGGTTTAGCGGACAAGGACAAAACAGTTTTCAACACCAATGACCACTTTCAGGATCTGCGCCCAAAGAAATGGAAGACTGGGAAAAATCAGAAAAAGAAGGAATCGAATTCAGATCAAGCAGAGGCAGAAGAGAAATCAGCACGCTCACTTTTGGAAAAAGAAGTGGCTGTGGTGGTGGCCCAAGTAAAAAAGTTAATAAAGTGGAATGTAGAATACACACCAGAGTTCACTACCATTCAACACATCGCAAATGGGGAGGCACCTCATGTAGTGGCCTCAACCAAATCAGCATGTCTGACATTGATGGGCACCCGCCCGCTAATTGCGGCCAGGTATGTAGAGAAAGAGGGAGAATGGCAGATCGCCACAGATGTGTCCTTCACAATCCCAAGGATTGAGGAAGGACAGAACGTGGCCAGTATTCTTCAAGAAAAGGTAACACAGGGGTACTCAATGGGCGTGTACGAAACAATTGCCCTGGACGATGATCAGGAGGACAGGTCCTCCCAAGCAGGTCAAGAGGACCAACAGGATCATCATATGGACCTAGAGAGACACTCCCCTTGTGCCTTCTCCCCTTTGATTGCAAAATTGTCAGAGGAAACCAAGTTGAAGAGCGGGATGATAGGAGGCCTTGGAGAAAAATGACAACGATTGCATATAGCGTGCTGGCGGGACCAGGCATTCCAGCGGAACTGTTGACGGTCTCAATGTCACACCTCCTGACTCATGGGATTCTGAAGGGAGATAGCGATCTGGACTCAAGAGCGTTCCCCATTGATCTGGACAGATATTACAAAAGTGATTACTCCGAGAGTAATATGGAGGAGTGGGAAGATAAGGACAAAGGAGTAGGATCAAAACCGGTCTTTGTCCCAGGACAGGGAACCAGTGGAAGTGTGGGGGAGTATAAGCTAAATGATTCTCTCACCATGGTGCTTCAAGACCCGCCGGGTGATGGGTCGCCAGAGATGGATGCAAGCGATCAGGGGACGTCTATACTATGATCGCACCCCTGTCT